CCTAAAACTCCCAGAATTCCCCAGGCAGCACTGGGGATGGCCACCAATGTGGAGGGCTTTAGAAAGTGACTGGGCAAATTTATTTATTTTATTTATTTATCCACAAATCCACGAAGGAGGAGCCTATCTATGGCTGCAAGTCATGATCGGCTTTACTCCATGTCCAGTAGCAGGGGCATTCGGCTGATGCTCGCCAGGTACTGGGGAACATGGGCTAGAGGGCACTCATTGCACCCCTGTCCTGCTTGGAGGTTTTATGCAGGCAGGTGGCTGGCCACTTCTTATGTTCTTAGAATGGTGCCTTGAATGTTGCCCCAGTCTGACAGTTCCACGAAGCAACGCTAAGCGTTCTCTAAAGCAGTGTTGAGAGAGTTTGACCCTTTAAGGCAGCTCCAAAGTATCTAGGTTATCCACCCTTAAAATGTTGGTCTGGCATTGTTATCTTCACAGCAGCAGCTTAAGACTTTATCTCAAGCATCTGGCAGAATATTACGATGTATTTAATCAGGTCTCAAATTCTTCTTACTGTTGATCATTTAAAATAATAGATAGAAGTTTGTGTCTGCATGTGTCTAGGTTCATATGTATGCGATGTTGGTTTTTTAATAATGCATTTTAAGGTTTTAAACTTTGTAAACTGCATAGAGAACTTTGGCTATTGGGCAGTATAAACATGTTAAAAAATAATATTTCAGGAAGAAGAAATCCATCATTGCAATGCAATTTCAGTGATGCAAGTGTTTGTTTGCCAAATTCAGCCAGTGATAAATTTGAGGTAACTCCAGAGATTGCTGGGCATCTATTTTCTGAGCTTTCACTAGACCCAGCCTTACAGTTTACAAGTCATAAGGCATAAATAAAAAGGACACGGGTGGTCGTCAACCAAACAAACAATTTCTCCTCTTTGCTTGTTTTCGGCTGTTCAGTGCCTTAGTGTGACCACTTGACCAACTGCCAAAAAAGAGCATATGTTTCATCAAAACAGGACTCTTTTGCATGAAACCTACACATGCTAATTTATGGATAGAGACATACATTTCAGCCTTTTCATAACTTAAACAGAGATACAGTAGACATCACCAGGTAAAGTCCCACACATCTTGGAGCCGCAATACTTGACAGAGTCCCTTTTCCAAGCATTATCTGCCCAGACACTGTGGTTAAAATCGGAGGCCTTCCTCCAAAGACCACCTCCTAAAAGGCTTGTTTGATGGCAAGAAGAAGGGCCTTCTTTGCGGAGGTCCCAAAGTAAGAAATACTCTCTCTGCTGAAGCTCGCTTGACACCAGTTTTCCTATCATTTCGTTTCATGAATTATCCTTCATGTTTAGGCATTTAACATTTCCAAATAAGACTGGGAGAGTGAGCATTGTCAACATGAACCTGATTTAGAGGTTTAAATAGTTAAAATTTGGTTTTAAATCCATGGTGAAATGCTATGAGGTTTTTACCATATATTTTATACTGTATTTTATCCACTTTATCCATTGTTATACACTGTCCAGCGAGCTTCAGTTACTGGGAAGTATCGATATATAACAAGAATATTAATAAAAATTAAAATCATAACAAGAACAACAACAGTGGAAAACTAATGGGCTGACCTGTTGTCCAGATGATATTTCAGGAAAGGCCATTCCAAGGCCCAACCTTTCCTTCTGATGGTTTTTTATCTTTGAACAAGGCATGGAAGCACAGCCCTTGGAATGGAGGACGTCTTTGAAATACAGCGTGAAAAGAGCTTTGCACAACGTGAAAAGAGGGTGTATACCTATCCCATTTGTTTCTGCATTCCAAGCTTCAACCTTGGATGGTCAGAACATGCAGATCATGGGCCAGCTGTGGATTGCACGCAAGACCCTTGCAGAAGGCACATAATCCCTGCAGAAACTCCAAGGGTTTTTAATTCCGTTTTACCAAATGGATTCTAGGAAAAGAAGGAACTGGGCAAATCCCATTTCATTCAAGCCAGATTTCCAAGCATCTTTCCTGCGCCAGTCATGCTATCACGAAAGTCCACGAGACAATCATTTTGAGTGAAAATGATTTAAAGGCGTATATTTTCTGTCTGTCATGGAGAAATTACTATGTAGCAACACAGGAAGAAAACAACAGATTCTCTCCACATATTTTTACAAGTAAACAGACAGCTTCAAACTCTTTGTTACATGGTGTGGGTGTGCGTCTCCAATAGAATAACAAACCCGACTGCTGTAAACCAATATTTCTGATTTGACAGCTACAGTTATAACTGTTCATGCGTTGATTTCCCACAAACTCTCAACAGCCATAACCTTTAGTGATTAATTATAAAGTTCCAGGAGCAATAGTACGCAGACTAATTTCCTAAAACAATAAAAAGACAGAATTTCTCATTTGGAGCTAAATGAAACACGAACAGGTTGTTATTCATGCTGGAATCGAGATGCGGAGTCATGTTGCAGCTATTACAGAAGCTATTAAACACAACCTCGAATCAAAGAAACTGGAGGTCTGTCTCCTTAAAATAAAATGTTTGCCTCAATAAATGTGGATCCAGGCTTGTGCTTGTGTTACTTTCTGCTTTTGTTAAGAAGTCACTTTCAAAATTCAATCTCCTTTTATTCTTGTTTTACAATACCATTTCATTTATTTTTAGCACTCATTTAGACTGTAAGAGTCTCTGCACACACACACACACACACACACACACACACACACATATGCTTGCACGCGTTTGCTGAAAGTTTGTGCACGCACACAAAATTAGTATGTGTGTTCGCAATTTCAACTCACCAGGGCAGCAGCCTCAAATGGCAAAGGTTGTCTGTAAAGATGATGCCCAAGCGATTAAGAGTCATCTTTAGGGCTGGCAAGGGACCATCGCCCAATGGGAGACATCCCACATTTTATGCAAAAGGTCCTAGATTCAGCTTCACTTAAAGGATCTCAGGTATCCTGTATGAAAGCCTTTTAGGGCAATTATTTAGGAATTGCAAAAAAGAGGACGCAGATTTGCATAATATTTGCACACGCTAAAATACAGAAGAATTACTACCACTTGAACAGAGATACTCTCTCTCTGCTCATGGTGGGGAAGACTACAAATGGCTGATGAGCAAATTTGAGGCTCCTTTTGCTCAGTGAGCGTTCTCAGGGCAGCTCTCTGTTTGTGGATCTCCCTCTCAGGACAGGCATGATTTATTCCTTTAGGATATTTATATCCTGCTTTTCTCCTGCAAGGACCCAAGGTGGCTTACAAGGTCCCCTTCCTCCTCCTCTCCCTTCCACCTCCCAACGTTCTGCTGAGGTAGCTTGGGCTGAGAATGGGAGATCAGGCCAAAGTCACCCCATGGGCTTCCTGTCCTGGATCTCTTAAGTCCCCATCCAGCGTTCTTGCTGCTACACCACATCAGATCTCGATGATTAGCCTAACTGTGAATATTTCTAAACGCAAAACAAATAGCTCTTGGTTTACAAAAGTATTTGTCGCCTGGCTTGTTCATTAGACTGTTATTGTATTCTTAACTGTTTGATTATGATAGCAGGATTGCACTGCTGTTTTATTGGCACTTGTTTCATTAGTAATGCATACTGTTCAGTTCTCCTCTGGAGGAAGGGTAGTGTATAGGAATTAAAACAAACAAAAACAAACACATTTTCAAAGGCCCACCTGGCCGATCCACCTCCTTGGAACTTCCTCTTTCAAGGTGTCCAACCTGACCTCTGAAATCAGACCCTGAAGGCCACTCTGTACCAAAAATCTCATCCTAGGTTACAAACTATCCTGAAAGTTGTCCAAATAAGTGGAGTGGGGGATGGGGGGCATTTGTCGCATTACTGAATGCTCCTCCGTATAGTAAAGATCTCTGCACTCAAGAAACCAGATTGCAGAGATAAGAATGGAGCACACTGAATGGTCTGCTTCCTACTGCCTAATCTTCAGTTTTATCAGATTTGTTTTTATTATGTCTGCTTGCACTGAGAACTTCAGATATAGGGCGATCCATATATTGAATGAACGAGTAAAATAAAATTCCATGTTTAGGGAGATAAGAATGCAACCCACCCAGCACAAGAACAGTTATACTACATAATGTACCATGTTTGTAAAGATCAGCTTTGCAAGAGAAGACCAGGAGGCAACGGCTGTGTTTTAAGAATTCGGACAGCTGGAGGACCATGAAGGCCAAGTACACGAGCCGAAGTCCTTCATGTAGCCAAGGGAGGCCACCCGTAATATCCCTAAAGGGCCTCCAACAAGCCAAGACTGAGCCAGGGCTGTGGTCATAAGACCATAAGAAAAGCCATCGCAGATCACACCCATCTAGGCCACCCAGTGGCCAACCAGCTGCCCATGGGAGGCCCACAAACAACATCCTCCTGCCCATGTTCCTCGGGATATCGTGACGCAACCCTGTAAAAGCTAAGGAGGTAAGCTGACTTGCGGGCCAGCAGGATATATCCCTAAACAAGAAAGCCATATTCTTCCAAATCTCAGCATCCCACCTGCAAACTGAGGACAACGATGCAGGTCTACTTTAGGGGACTGCCCTGTGCATCCCTGGAATGATAAACGCAAAACATGGAGTACTTGAAACATGCTAATTATTATGATTACCATGTGAAGATAGTCTGATGAACAATCCTTTCCCTCAAGGCTAAGCATTTAGGCCTCCTTTTGCCCAAATAAAACAAGGCCAACATTTGTCAAAAAAGGAAAACACTCCCAAACTCCATCTGCACCAAACCCTCCATTGCGTGTAGAATTTTTCTAACCATGATGGATGATTTCTTACCTATTATTATGATTTTTGAATTGCGGTATGAGAGGCAAATGGCCAATTTCAGCTCTGCAATCTGGTGTGAGTCTCTCATAAAATGGCCATTCTAGGCTGTTTACAACCCAAATGGCAACACAGTGACAATGGAAGGATTTCATTTGGCCAATGGGCAAACCATAAATAGCCAGAAGTGTGTCTCTATCACACACAAGAAAGTCATGCTTAAGACTTGCCTTACCTGCATTGGAATTGAGTTCCTCATTCTCCGATTCGGTTCCGTTCTGACTCCCACTTCCATGGATGCTATTCATGGCCATCAGCTTCATCTTCTGCAGTTTCATTGCTTCAGCCATGGCAGCAGCCGTTAGACCTGGCCAGAAAAATAGACAGAAAAACTGCATTAAACAAAATTACCAAATACTGTATGTTTCCCTTCAGCTAGTCTGTGATGGGAAAGAACGGACTGGTAGGACCTGTGTTTGCAACTGGTATTCTTGGGCAGAGTTCAGGGCTCTCCTGAATTCATTTTTCTGGCCTACCACTGTGAGCAGCAGCAAGCAATCAAAGCTAGTCTTGCCCTTCATTTCCCGCAATGTCTCTAACCTCTACTATGTTGGCCTCTGGACCATTGCAAGAAATTAAAAGTTTGGCCAGACCCAACTGGGCAACACCAAAGCTGTCGCCATGGAGACCCACAAGACAGGGAAGGGACTCCACCTGAGGAAAGCTAACCCTGCATGTCGTGAGCGGAGCCGGCTGGTGCCGGAGGTCAGACTAGATGGCCTGGGAGACCCCTTCTGACTCGCTCTGTTTTCTATGTTTCTATGTAGTTAACATACAAGCATAATGATCCACCCTGCAGCCTCCAGCGTATCAACAGATGCCCCTCTTGGTGCCTGCCTTGTTCCTAACCCCTTCTTATTCTCTTAAAAGATGTTTTTAACTCTTCTAAATTATATTTTTATACCACCTGTAGGCAAAGCTCTGTGGGTGATTCACAACATTTTGAGCCACACATCCATATTTCAACCAGGCCTGACCTTGCTCAGCTTCCAAGATTAGACAGAATGAGACACTTCAGGCTGGGTGGCCAGCATGCGGCAAAGCAAAGCGTCATCCTTTGGAGCTGCCTTCATTCAGTTTTGAAGGGTGCAGTTTTGTCTGTTGGAGCTGGAACCTCACTTCTGCCTTGCATTTTACCTCCTCAGCTTGCTTTCTAAGAAATGAGTGTTTGGTGGCTGATCTGGCTCACCATGGTAGCCATTCTGTAAAAGCACCCACAATTCTCCCTCAAAACGCCAATTGTGCTCAAATGTTGGAGACCACTGAATTTTCAGGGGAGAGCAAAAAGAAGCCCATCCCCTTTTCTTTCTGCAGTGGTCCAGCTAGCTAAGATTAGAAGACTCTAAGGGGCATGGTTTGTCTAAAATTAGACTGGGGCAGCTGTGTGTGACTGATTTTCCCTTTGACACATATATTATGTATTTGTATTCAACATATTTATATAAATCTCTCCCCCAATAGAAACATTTTGGCACAATGCACTTAGTACACAGAACAGCAGTAACTCAATAAAGCAAGAAGTGCTCTAACTTGTTAAAGTCTTTAAAAATGTGGCATTTACTACTTTCTGAGAAAGCTGCTAAGGAAGGTGTAAACAGACCTTAACATAAACTTTTGATTGATTCCCTGCTTCAGTCATAACATAAACCATAAATATTGCTATTTTGACAAAAACCAACGGTAAAATGAAAATCGGATCAAAACGATAAAAACAAACCACATTCAAGTGTTGTTAGAAAGAGAGAGGAAGCAAATAGCACCTCAGTATGATAACAGTGCTGTAATCACAGAACTATCGCACTATCTTCTCTTGCAAGCACAGTGATGGTCAAGGAAGGTCAACACGGAATATCACCCTTTATGAAACAAGGAATGCCTGACATTCAAGCTGGATTCTGAAAAGAGGCACTAGAGATCATAGTGAAATTATTTGTTGGCTACTGAAGAATATCAAATAATTTCAGGAGACAATGAGTTTATGCTATATAAACTACCACAGAGCCTTTTGGGGTCACAAAAAGCTATGGATGGTCTTGAAAGAAATGGGTGTGTCTCAGCTGAAATGTAACTTGTATTGTGGATAAGAAGCTACTGTTAGGACCGAATATAGAGAAACTGAATGGATGCATATAGGAAAAGGTGTCAGACGAGGGTGTATTTCATCTCCCTATTTGTTCCATTCGTATGCAGAACATGTCATAAAGAAAGCTGCATTAGGATCAGAGGCACGACTGAAAAAGGGTGGAATACACATTAGATGCAATACTAATGGCAGAAAGCCACAATGAATTAAAATGACTCCCACTGAAAGCGAAGGAAGAACAAAAGCAGGCCTGCAGATGAATATTGAGAAGAAAAACTACATAAGTATTAGAGAACTTTACTGTCGATAATTAGAAAATTCAAATTGTCAAAGATTTTGTATTTCTTGGATCAGTCATCAATTCAGTTGGAGACGGCCACCAAGAAATTAGAAGAAGACTGAGACTTGGAACGGCAGCAATGCAGGAACTAGAAAGATAATCAAATGCAAAGATATTTCACTGGAGACCAAGGCCAAAATCCTCAGACTATGTATTGTTAATCACTCTGTCTGGTTATAAAAGCTGGATGGTGAATTGCTGACAGGAAGAAAACTGATGCATTTGAAACATGGTGCTGGAGGAGAGCTTTGCGAATACTGTGGACTGAAAGAAAGACAGAGTGGGTCCAGATCAAATGAAGTCAGAATTTTCCCAGGAAGCTCAAAAGACAAAACTGCGGCTGTCGTAGTTGGGACACTTCATAAGAAGGCAACACTCCCTGGGGAAGACAATCATGCTAAAGACAATCATGCAGAAGGAGAACCAAGTAAGAGATGGCTTGACTCCGTAAAGGAAGCCGCTGCCTAGCAAGGGCTGAGCTGAAGAACTAAGGACATTTTGGAGAGCTTTCATTCATAAGATCACCGTAAGTCGGAGATGACTTGACAGTGTATGACAACAACAACATCTGTTTGATCTGTAAATAGAACCCATCATAAAGAAAGCGGAAGATACATAAATAATTAAAGATATGCAGATGATTCCATAATACTAGCAGAAAGTAGCAGTGAATTGAAAGGACTCCTGATGAAAGTGAGAGAAGAAAGTGCAAAGGCAGGACTGCAGAGGAACATAAAAGGAACAAATGTTATGACTGCAGAAGAACGATGCAACTTTAATGCCAGCAAGAAAGAAATATGAAAGGTTTTGCATATGTAGGTTCAATCATCAACTCAAAGGGAGACTGCAGTCAAGAAATTGGAAGAAGACCGAGACTTGGAAGAGCAGTAATGAAGGAAGTAGAAAAGATCATCAAGCTTAAGGATGTTTCGCTGGAGTCTAATTCCAAGGTCATCCAGCCACTGTATTCCTGATCACTATGTATGGGTGTGAAAGCTGAACAGTGAGGAAGGCTGACCGGAAGAAAAAATGATGTGATGGGAACATGGCGCTAAGGACAGCTTTGTGAATCCCCTGGACTGACAGAGAGATCCAGGGAGGCCTTCTTGGGAGTCATGAAGAAATGGACACTGTCACACATTGGGCATATCAGGAGAAGGCAAGATTTACTGAAGAAGACCATCACGCTGGGGAAAGGCAGGAGAATGAGAGGGTGACAGCGTGTGAGATGGGTTGATTCGGTAAAGAAAGACACAACTTTGAGTTTGCAAGAGCTGAGCAGGGCTGTCACGAGCAGAAGGCTTTGAAGCACATCCATGCTTAGGATCACCAAAAGTTGGAGACAACTTGATAGCGTGAGGCAACAGCAAAGCTAAAGATTTAATTAATGTCAATCGCGACAAGGGGTTTTTTAAAAGGTGGTTTAAACACAGAGTAAAGGATTAAATGCCATCTGATATTTACACATTGGGGTTATAGGTGAGTCTCCATATCAAATTACACAGTACTTCAGGTTATCATCATCCCCATCATCATCACAATGGGAGTGGGGCTATTGGCAAAAAAAGAGGGGCTTTTTTCCTAAGCCTACAGCTCAGTGGGTTGTGTGAGAGAGAAGAACTTAAAACAGCAGCTGTGCGAAAAACGCCATGTGAGAAAAATTAAGCCACTGCTCTGGTTTTCCCACTGTGTTTGTGTGCACATGCACACGCCATGTGTATGATTTTCCCAAATTTGCCCCCTGAAAATAAAAAAGTGTCAAAACAGGGGTAAAATAATGGCTGGTCATTGGTGGGAATGACAGCCATATAGCTGTAGCCCTCAACCACCCCAATCTAGATTCCCTATGGCATCCCATACCTTGTATTATCCACAGAGGAAAAAAAATGCTCCATTGCAATTGGCCACAAAGCAATTGACAACAGTGGTGCGACAACAGTGTCAACTCTTCCATCAGTGCCCAGACCCAGCAGCCAAGGAGGGTGGCTTCCAAAGGATGTTGCGGGGAGGAATCCATGCGTCCCACAGCCATTGCTTGGTCTGGCATAAGACCAGAGCTGTTGTGGAGCCACGGTGTCCGAGGACACCATGTCGGTACTCGCTGGGAACACGAGCAATGATCGCACCTGCCACCCCTGTTGGACTTCTATTCCACCACCTGTTTTAATGCAGGGTCCTTTGGCTTGGCTTGGCCTTGGATGGGCCATTGAGCTTTACAGAAGACCCACTCCCAGTGGAGATGGGCAGGTAGAGCTGGCTGCATTTTCATGCTGTAATTGGGGGCATGGCCCACGTGACTGTCCTGATGAGCGACTGAAGTGCAAATTGTACCCCTGCACCATTGGGTGTGCACATGTGAATTTAGCATGGCTCTCTCACGAGTCGCTTCTGTTGCTCAGAATGGGCTGGATGGTACCCATTCTTCTGCATTAGCTGGAATGCTCTTCTGTCAAAACTGTGAATGACTACATTAAATAAAGAGGAGCTGAGTGTAATCAAATCCTGAGGTGTGCAATTAATTAAAATTGCATGGCAAGCCACAGTGCTGCCGTACAGTCTGTCATATTAAAACAACGACAACAAACATTTAATTAAATTAACAGACCACCACCACTTGCAATGAACAACATTCCAAAGCGGGTGGTGGGTGGGGGAGAAAGCAAACAAAAATCATCAGCCGGGCTCTGCTGTTGTTTCCATGCTGAAATGTGTCATTTGTGGTGTACATATCACCTGTGTGTGATATTGGCATTCAAAGCTGTTGCGGGTCAAGAATGATGTTCCGAAACATCTGGCACCATGAAATGTTAATATGTGATACCAAACTGAAAAGAGAGGAGGGAAAAGTCAGCTCCACAACAGATTTCAGGAGCATTTCAGATGG